CTTGCAATTGCTCATTCCTTTCACGGAAAAAAAAGGAATTAAATTTGATGAATTTTGTCACAAAATAATGTATTGAGTCAAATTGAAGAGTAATGAGAACGTTTTCAAGTATAAGAATCAGCCAAATTTGTGTGATAATCGCAACATTTTAGGGTGAATTAGGCAATGAATTGATTGAGTCAAATACAGACAACTGAAGTTCTTTCTTTAAGATTTTCTTTCTTTTTATAAGAAAAAAATAGGAAAATTGTTTAGAAAATTAACACAATTTTTGTTTCTTATTCACCACGCATATAAATTAAAGCAGAAATTTATGATTTAACAAAGATTTTATGATATCTACACTGAAATTAAATTCTCTGAACCTTTCTCAGAAGATCAATTTAAATTCTTTATCTTAACTGACCTATTGATTTTATTTTTTCTTCTTAATTGAGGTGTTACGAACGTGATTTGGTGAAATTTTCATCAATTTTGGTTAGGCCAATTTTGAAGAGAAAAATATTATTTTATAAAAAAAAAAAAAAAAAAATTAATTGGGTGGTGCCTTCTGTACCACCAATAAAGGGCACAGGCCGACAAGACTTTGTCTTGGCCTGACCCTACAAAAAAAAAAAAAAAAAAAAAAATACCATGAGAAAAATGTTAAATTTCTAAAATTCAGTTCTCACAATGACTTAAATTTCTCCTTGGAAATGAAATCTGCAAACCAATCCTAATGTAGAGCAAATTTACCATCAAAATCAATCGGGCTGTTTAAAAAAAAAACTACTCCTTTATGGTCAAATTTAAAGTTTTACAGGCTTCATTTTATTTTATTCTGTTTTAGGGTCAGGCCTAGACTTTCTTTCTCAGGATACTAAAAACCTTGGGAATTCAAAACCTTTTTTAAAGGAATAATTCCTCGAAAAAACAGCAGCAAAGATTTTGATAAAACTTCCGGAAAAAAATACACCATCCATCTTAATATTGCGGACTGAAACTGGCCAAAATTTGCATAATTGCCTATTGTTTAATATAAAAATTGCAATCTACTCTAAATCAATCCCTCGTGAGATCTTGTTGAAATTTTTCAAGATCGGTCGCGTTTGAAATTCGCCCCTCTGCTAATGATCCGCACTTTTCGGAAGTTTCACGAACGAAAAGTGCAATTCTGCTTCGCTCTCGTGTACACACCGAGAAAGAGAGACGCGCACGTCGTCATTTGGCGAGGGTCCTTGGAGTGTTGGCGTTTTCGCCTTTCGCATATCTGGGGGTTGGATCTGCGTGCGGCGGAAAACAATCGCTGGTGGAGGGTGGAGGAGCGTGTCAGCTGGTGGGCTAATGAAGCAAGAGGGGCGCGGATAGATCGTGCTCAAGTCCCGCTTACGTGACGAGCCTCTAATTGCGAGCCATACAAAAAAAGCAGAGAGAGAGATGAGCTGGCCGAGATGCGACGGGGCTGACTTTTCACCAGAGAGCAAAAACGTGCAGTCGCTCGCGAACCTGGCACGCCATAAAGGCTCATTAAACGCCGCCCGCGACTGCCGCTTTAATTATTATTGTGCACGCTCTATCATCACAACAACAATGCTCCGCTCTTGTCTTTTCATCTCTGCAGCCGATGAAAGCGCGGCCGGGGATTTTTTAATACGTGCCTTTGCCGTGTCGTCGAGCGAGCCAAATTCTCGTTTGTGCGCGCCCGCGGCCTCTCATCTCTCTCTGCTCTGCTCTCTCTGCGCGCCCGAATTCAGCCTCTTTCAAAGTGCGCCGATGATTTTCCGCACCGCAATCTCCTTTGTCTGCGCCACTTTGACCACCCGAGCGTGCAAATTTTTACTCAAAACCAAAATAACTCTCAATTTCAATCATTTTAATTTGTGCATATTTAATTATTTGCATTTTTTGAAATCAAACACATTTGCTACAATAAATCAAAAAACTTTACTTTTAAACAATCAATTAATTTTCAAAAGCTCCTCTTATGATTAAGATTTATTATTAGCATTTTATAAGTTCGACCTCAGCTATAAGGTCAAGGAAGTTTTAATTTTTATTTTTTTATTACTATTTTCAGAGTAAAGAACTTAATTTTGACCCTAATTTCAACATAACTTTTTCAGAGAAGCGTCAGAACTGCTAAATAATAAATGAGTTCATCATTTTCTACAAAAATGATTACTCAATGAACGTATTTTTATGCTTGTTAGAAATATTTTGGAATATTTATTATGTCGATGAAACCAGTAAATCATTTTTGATTAGAATAACTTGAACCCACTCAATTTGTATCAAATTCAAAGAAAGACATTTTTTTTAATTTGTTATTCAAATATTGAGTAATTATAAAATCATCGATGATAATCTCAGGATTTCAGAAAAGATCTTATAAGACTCGATTATCTCACAATTTGCTTCTTTGATTTTAAACAAAACATTTTGAGAAGAGTCTTTGAATTTGATCGAAAGAGCGTGTGTGTGTGTGTGTGATGTGACGCAGCAATAAATTTCGGCTCAATTAAAATTCAATTTGCAGGGCGGCCCTGCTCTTGTGTGTCTCCCTTTGACTTTGGCTGCGAAACGAAACATGCAAAGTGTTTCAAGGGCGGAATGTCGACAAAGGCGATGCGCACTTTGTTTTGACGGAAGCAACAAAACTGCAATTACGCGAGAGCGCGGGGGCGAACAAATTGCATAGCAGCGTCGATAACAAGGCAATAATCGAGTCGGACGCGCGCAACCCGCAATTATACACGACGTGCGCCCGGGGCGGCAAAACGAGAGCGAGGGTGCAGGTTGATTGACGCGCGGGGTGCAGCCCGGGGAGGCTTTTTTGATCTCTTTTAATCGCACCAGGATTTGTCTGCGATAAACCGACAAAAGCCGCAGCAAAGCGGCTCACTCGGAATTAAGTGAGTCTCAAAGTCTGTTTGACGACTCAATTGATTTGAGTCAAAAGTCAAATGGTTTATTGATTTGGTTCAGAAATTTCATATTTGTGGAAAATTTACCAAGGGTATGAGAAATTCGATTCTTGCAGCGATTCTCAAGAAGTGATTCTCGCGCAAGGATTCCCTACGAACGATTCTTCAATGGCAGAAACGTTCCTAGAGAATATACTTGCGCGAGAATCACTTCTCGAGAATCACTTCTCATGAATCGCTGGAAGAATCGATTCATCATATTGGGACCCATCCAAATATTCTTTTGATGAAACATAATTTAAATCTTCAGTGTACCAACATTAATTCATAATAATTAGAGTTTTTTCAAATTTTGGTGGATTTTTGGTGATTTTTAGTGGCAGAGACGAAGAATTTGGTCAACGTTGTGTGTGGCGGACCACCCTGCGCAGCTCGGAGAGGATTAATTTGAAAGCGTCAGTTTCACTCTCTCTCTCTCTCTTTGCAGTTTGCACGCGGCGCGGCTGCTGGTCGAAAGCGATTTGCTTTCATTTTGCGACGGTGGTCATTACCGGACGCGTTTGTTTGGCGGGCCGAGTGGCTCTTGAAACGCGAAACTCCCTATTTCCCATAAATTCCAAATGAAGTCCATTACAAGATGTTGTTACAGATAGCGCGGCCTTTGATATGCGCTTTATTTGCGGCGGCGGCGGCGAACCCTTCTTTTTTTCATTTCCATGCCGACGAGTGGCTCTTGACCGACGCACTCGTCGGCATTATACGAGTCCGCGGCCGGTCCGAATATCCGCACAGCAGCAGCAAAACTCCTTTGCCTCACACGTGATTTTCAAGCCAATGAAGCACCTCTCGTCCTCCTACCTACGGAGGGCCCTTTGCTCTTTGCACGCAGCGCACTCGAACCGGCCACCACGCAAAAATAACACACACTCTCGAACGAACCAAAACTTCTCTTTCCGAGTTGAAAAAGAAACGTGTGAGAATGACGTCCTCATTTCATGTAATGCGTATTTGCGTGCGAAAACCAGAAACTCTCCAAAACTCCATTTCGCAAGCTTTTTTTATTCCTTTCAAAACGTCCTCTCATTTAATGCTTTTGCAGTAATTTCCCTTTGTAGTTCTTTTGTTTAAATTGAGAAATTTTTCAGGCAAAGTTATCATCTAAAAGTTCACATTCTAAAGTAAAATGTTCATATTTTTGTCAAATTCAGAGAGATTTATTAAAATTTGTCCCAAATTACTTTCAGTAAAGATTTTCTTGGTAGCAAACCAAGGTGTCTTTTCTTATCGGTCATCAAGTTCCTAGATCGAAGGCCATTGACCTTGGCAAAAGGTAAAAATATAAAGTTTTTGTGCCTCTTGAAAATATACAACCTGACAAAAAAAATCTGGGATAGCTCAAAGGTGCGCCATGTCATTTTGCAACCAAATTCAAATTTGAAATATTTTGGACCAACGTCTTTTGAAAATATTATTGATTTAAAAAATTTAAATTACCGGCAAACAACTCCAAGGACTGAAAAATTAGAAAATGATGCTTTTTTTACATCATATTTGAAACAAGTTGAGTAAAGATTTTATTGCATATCATTTAAAATCAAAGATTTATTTAAAAAAAATTGTAGGTCATCATTCCAAATACTTCGAATTGTTACATAATTATCAAATTCATTGAGTATTTTGATATTTGGCCTAATATTGATAATAATTAAAAAAGATTTACACAAGATATTGAAGAGATAATTAAGAGAAATTTAACTAAAATCTATCAAGTGACTGTGTCGTGAAGACTTGACTTTTTGTGGTGCGATCAAAGGGAAAAAGTGCAATGTCCACGATTTATTGCGCGCGTTCGGCGGGAAGCTGGTGGCGGGTGCAGAGGCAGACTCGGGGGCTGCAATATTTGGTTTGCACTGCAGGCCGTCGAGGGCCGATTAGTATGCGCATATCATTTGCTGATGAGGCAATTACACGCGCGCGGCCAAGGAAATTGCAAACTCAGGTCAAATGCAAATGCGGGCCGCTCTCGAGGGCCTCTCGAGCCAAATGTATGCACCCCTGCCTGCGTGTGTCACTCATGAGCCGTCGTCCTGTTCGCAGGTCTCGCGGACCTGCACCTCCAAGGCCCGATTCAGATTCTCGCCAGGCCGGCCGCGCCCGTCAAAATCTGGGCCAGAAACGCCCCAAATGAGGAAATCGAAAGTCAAATCCAACCGAAATGTCCGTCCAAAGAGACGAAGCGAATTGCCGGGCAAGACCAACTCTTGTCCCGTGCAATTGAAGGCGGCTCTGGCCGCGCCAGGGGCAGCTGGAGGGGCAGAGGCAAGTCCTTATCTTCTTCATTTTGGATTTTAATCATTTAGTTAAAAGAAACATGAATTATGAGCTTTTTCTAATTTTTACATTATTTATTCAATCGGTATTGATTTCAGGTCAAAAATTTTAAAATTCACGTTATTTGGTGCTTTTTTAAGTATTTATGGAAATGAAAATGGCAAGAAAACAAATTCACGAAGTTTCATAACTTTTTACTTCAAACAACTTCCACATTGACTTCTAAGTCATGGGTCGATGTTCAGATGGCCACGACGAATAATTACAAAAACTAATTTCTCATTTACGCTTTAAATATGGAAGCTTTAAACACAAAACAGATAGATCAAGTCATGGACAATCACATACTATATATTGTTTAGTTTATGAGTGATCATGGCTGGCAAAATTTGGGGTCTGTGGGAGGCAAAATTATATTGATTTAGTCAAAAGAGATCATTTCAATTTATAGTATAACGTTTTGGAGGTAATCGAGACGTTTCCGGAAGTATCGGGAATTTATGTAAAATTACTTGGAATTATTTATCAATTTTAAATACTTAAACAAAGTTTCGAGAGCAAAAAATTTTACCGGAAAAAAATTCTGAATATTTTTGATAGCATTTATTTTAAAAATTTGCAAAAGTTACTAAAATTTAATTTACGGATCTTCAAGTATTGCTTTATATCGGTTCAGAGCAACTCCTCAAATCAAGCAAGAAGTTGTCAGAGGAGGAATTAGGGCGGCGGCATTTTAAAGAGGCCTCGAGCGAAGAGTGGCCGGATCGCTTTTTAATCGGCTCGAGCGCGCTAATCAAGAGCCGAAGGCGCTTTCGACTCTGCTCTCGGTGTGTGTGTATTTATGGCAGCGGAAGGAAGGGCGAGAGAGGCCTAACTAGCTCAAATGGAGAGTTTTCAGTGGCGCTCAAGACGAGTGTCACTAGACGGCGGCGGCGGCGGCGGCACCTTCAGCCAAGGGTCGTCCACTGTTGTAGCAACAAACACACAACAATTGCATCTTGTGCCGGCCGGCCACGTGTAGGGCCCTCCACATGGGCTGGATGGCCCTCGCGCGCGGTCAAAGATCGCGTGCATCTCTCTTTTCCGCGCGCGGCGATTGCATTCGAATCCGCAACCCTCACTCGCAAGGGCCTCTTCTCTCGATTGCCGCTCTCGCTGTGTTAATTTTGTTGCTCAGCTTAGGCGTCGAAAAACTTGGCTTTTAATTGAGAAATTAATTTTCAATTACTCTAAAATTCATCTTTTTGTATCTCTAAAATGAAAAAAACAATAAAAAAACGTAATTAGGGCAAACAGAGCCATAGAAAAAATAGTTATTTCCACTCGCTGCTTGAAAGCTGGTCTAAAAGAGCTCAAACTCTAAATGATTTTGGTTTCCTGAAACAAATTGCTCTCCTTTTTATTTCTAAGTCAAATTGGCATTAATTGGTATTTTCTTTTGTTCCTTTGGTTTTGACCTAAGAGTCGTGTCCGTCCAGTGGGCGGCACGCGGACCATATTTGCGGCGAGGTGTGTGATGAGCACCACTCGTCGCTATCTCCGCCGCTGCTGCTGCTTTTATCGCGCGTCTTTTCAGCCGATGAAATAGCGCCGCTCTCAGATGAGCCTCTCGAGCGCTCTCGGCCGCGCGTGTTGTGAAAAAGCTGTGCATGTGTTCAGTGCAGTGCCACCCTTTGTGCGCTCGCCGCGATTATTTTGAACTGAATGGCCCTAATGGGATGGAAAGCGCCTCGTCCATTTGCACAAAAAGCATCCCCATCACTCACGCTCGGCGCCAAAAATGAAAAGCATTTTTATCTCTGCAGAGAGTGAATGTGAAGGCTGCACTTTAATTTGCTAAAATTTACGACTGGCCATACTATTTTATACATTTCAATGCGCAAAAATGTTACTTGATTCATGAAAATACAAGCTTGAAGTTTTAGATAAGAATGCGGAATAACAATTATTTTACAAAATAATAAGAGATTCACTTCAAAAAATGAATAAAAATTTCAATTAAAATGTTAATATTTTGATTTTAAATTGCTGAAATTGTTTTATATTTCACATCTCAAATAATTCTGAATTTGAAGTAATTTTTTGTTGTAATAACTTATTTGTATTCATCATATAAAGCATTTCCTGAGCCTCATTCATAAATTTTAGTTTGATTTGAAACGAAATATCAACTCTATCTGAATAATTCTGTGGTTCGGAATAACCAATTCTGAAGAGTTACATCATTTTCAACAGAGATTTGCTATTTTGATTCGTCACTGATGCGAGCATTGATGAAAACCTGATAGTTTCAATCTGGAGCCCAAATATAAAAAAAACGTCAATTGCGGCAAAAGAGTAAACATACAAATTTCGAGTGCGCACGTACGCGGTGAAAAGACATGCATGTGCTTTTCTCTTGAATAATCAAAAACGCTCGCTGTGGCGCAGGAGCTGGTTCGAAAAACCAAACAGCCCTCCAGCGCCGAGAGCGCACTTATCTCATCATAATCTAATGAACCAATTACACGGGAAACTCGGCGGCTGATGAAGTGACTGAAAAGCTAATTCACGTTCGCGACTTTATATATTCGCGAGATCGAATACAATCGCGGGCGCGCGCGAGATGCAAAATAAATAAAACCTCGCTAATGATACATGAAATGTATATCAAGTGGCGCGCTGCACGCATTCAAATAACCCTCCAAGCATAATTATCCCCCGATATTAAGTAGCTTGTCAGTTTTGCTAAAAGGGCTCCCTCCTTTCTCTCAAATTGTAATGGAAAATTAAAAAATAAATATAATTTTATATTTAAGGCTCTAAAAAAAAATTGAAATTTAAAAGATTTCATTCATTTAAAATCTGAAGTTTCTCTCTAAATTGAATTAATAATCTTAATAAACTCCATTGTCTTAAATTCCTTTGCAATAAAATCAGGTGAGAAGAAAAAACACAATATGATGAATTTTGGAAGAAAAAAAAAGTACAAAATTCATGTCGTTTGATATTTTTGAGTTTTTTATGAAAATTTTTAAAAAGATATCATCCTGAATTTTTAATTTCTTGTTTGCAAGGTTAGCCTTAACATTGTTAGGACTAATCTTTGAAAAAAATTTCAAGGAATTTTATTTTTGCATGTGACCTCTAGAAAATGACCTTGACCTTAGACCTCAAGATCATTTGAACCCTGAGGTAAAAACAAAATTTTGTTCTTGCCTCATTTCTGTATCTCATATAGAACCTGAGATTTTCAATTTTCAGTTTTTTTGGGGAAAGTTTTGAATTTTTTAAAAGTTTTGTCGACGCCAAATTCCATCGTATTATGTATTCTTTCCACCTGAGCTTTTGTTAAGAAATCCACGACCCCTTGCCATTGCCAACCGACCTGTGACAGTTGAAAATGAATGAAAATTGTAAACGTTTGGCTAAAATTATCAACCTTTTTTCTTTTCCAAATTTTGCATAATCTTCCAAACTACTGAACTTACTTTTGGTACTTAATAAAAGCTAAAAGATTCAAACTCAATGTGCTTTTCATACACCAATGTTTGAATGTTCCTTTCTAAATTTTCTGCAAATTCGATATTAAACGCAAAATTGTGTCACTAAAATAAGTTCAAAAATCTTCACTTTTCCATGCGAGGACATTTGAGATTGAGGATCGCTGATCGAGCCATTCAAAGTTTCAACGATCAACTATCAATTTGTAAAAGACAAAACGATTTTCTGCACAATCGTTTTTCTTTTAGAGTTAACGACGGCGACCCGCGGTGCTGCTTAAGTGTTGGGAAAAAGCCGCGCGTCGAGCGTTATTATATATCAAAATACATATTTCGCGCACAAATGAGCCGGCTCGAGTGGCTTCGAGACAAAACTCGCATCTGCCGCTCTCGAGGCGCAGCATTTTTTTCCTCCGCCGTTCCAAGCCAACAATTGAAAATGTGCTGAGCGTTTTATGCACACAACAACGCTTGCACTCGCACAATGCGCGATCGACGCTCACAATGAAAATGCATGCAGCGCGCCGGAAAAGCACTTGAGCCACAAAAATGCGATACAAAATGGCGCGGTCGTTCGAGAGCCGTGCAAAAAGAAGGGAAAAAAATCCGAGCAGGGGTAAAAACGCACAATGGGGAAGGAAAAACGCGCTCCACTCTTTTATCCTGGCTTTTTCATTCCATCCGAAATCCAAAAGGTTTTTCTAATGCTGCATAGAGTTTTATTTTTGCAGACAGGAAGTGGGAAAAGTCCTTCTAAAATTAACATTCCAGTGTTCGTTTGGATTGATTTAATTGTATAATTTTGTCAAAACCGTAGAAAATTATTCAAGAAAAAATGGAATTAGCTCATTTTTGTACAAATTGAAGGCATTTTCAATGATTTGAGATGTTCATTATAGATTTTGAACTTCCTAAATCGAACCAATTCAGTCTTTTTTTACCCTAATTTCATTCAAACTTATGTCTCCAGATTTTTAGTCATTTTAGAGTCCATTTCCATTGCTAGAGAGTGGATTTTAAATGTCAGTTTATCGGTCAAATTTCAAACAGTTTTAATGATATTGCAAAAAAGAATGTAAAATTTTGAATAAGACTGAAATTTTACAACTTTTGTGTTCAACTGTTGATTTGGAATTTTTCAATATCTGCATTCAATTTAAACAATATAAAGCTATCAAGACAAGTTTTCCCCAAAAGATTAAAAAATTAGATTTTCCAAATTTTTGTTGGTGTTAATAACTGTAAAGCTGTTTTAGGGTTGGGTTTTTAATTTCATGACTACTGAAACTTCTCTTATGATAGAAATGCACCAAAATTAAGTAATAAATAATAATACCTCAAATAATTGGCTTCTTGTGTATAAATAGAAATGGAAAACGTCATCAATAAAGTATTCTTAAATGACTCTTTATTACATTTTTTTTGAGTCATTAAAAAATTAAAATATAAAATTTCGATATTTATTCGATTTTTTCTCGCACAGCTTCGGTAAATTAGTGGAGAAATGCAAAATCTCTAAAATTTTGCGAACTCCAAACATTTTGAAAGTTCAATCAATTTTTTATTTGAAGGGAGAGACAAGTCTCGGGGCTGAACAAGAGAGAAGATTCACGACGAGTTTTAAGTGAGCGGAATCAATAAAAATATGGCAGGGTGAATCAAATAAAAGCGCTCTCGAAAGAGCAGAAAAAAAGTTGGTCTCGGCCGGGATGCTGGTGCGGTGGTGGCGCGCGCGAGAGAGAGAGAGAGAGAGAGCGAGCGTCGCCATGGCAACCAACGGCAGTCATCAGCAGGGCTGGTTTGACCGGGGGATGCGGTGGCGCAGGCAGGGCCGCCGCCGACAATCTCAAGTGGCCTCTGCCGAGGGTCAAAAGTGCTGTGCGCGCCTTTCACCACCACAAATGAACATGCGCGGCGCGCCTTCAATGAAATAATGCGGCACAATAAAAATGTCAACCGACGCTAATTAGCATTCGCTGCAGCGGCCAACCGAGCTTTTTGCCTCCGCAATTTATTATCGTGGTCAGCCGCGCGCATAATTCATTGCACTCCGCCCTCAAAAAACCACCCACCGAGGGTTGTTTTCGCCCCGGGGCAAGTCAAGTGCGGACGCTCCGAGCCAACGCAGTAGCGAGTCCGAAATTTATTTTGAATTTCTTTTTTGTCCCGTTACAAAAAGGTAGAATTATAAAGCGGAATTGCTCCTGAAAATTTATTATTTCATGTCATTTGAAATATTTGAACTAAAAAGGAGACAATTCGGTGCTATAAATCTGAAACTAACCCTTTTAAAAATGCTTAGATTAAATTTCCCAAAATTTCTTTAAACCAATTTTGAATTATGAAAATGAATAAATCAATTTTTCCATTTTGCTATAAGTAAAATATTCCTGAAAAAATGGTAGATTTTCGAATTGCTTCTTTTCTCATTATAATTTGGGCTTTAATTTCAAAACCTTATCATTAAGTGCTAAAAACGAGCCGATTACTTAATAAATAGTTGACAGAGCTTAAAAAATTCAGCATTAAAAGACTCTTCATCAAAATAATTAATTCTACTTTCTTTTTGGCAAAAAAAAATTACAAATTTGGGGACAAGTTCCTTTCTTTTTTAAATATTATTTTCTTAAACAATAAAATAAATTATGAAAAAGCTGAAAAGATGAATTATATTTGGAGTTTTGTTTTCAACGGTTTTTGTGAAATTTGTGCGCGCTGAGAGGGAATTCGCGCCTCTCTCTTGGTGCGGCTCTTTGGCTCTTTTTCCCCCGGCGAAAGTGCTCGACGCGAAATCAAACGCTCTCGGCTCCGCGCACTTGTGTCGCTCTCACAGTCGTGCTTGAATGCAACAATAAAATTCATTGTTTGACTGGCAAGCATCACTAATGCGCGCTCTTACGCCGCCGCTCGACGAGACAATCTCATTGTGATTATCATAATTCATCAGGCCATCATTGTCGCAGCTCTTGATGCAGCTTTCGCGCCTCCTGCGCTGCAAAATTGCACAAACGAGGCGTGTGCAGTCTTCAAATTTACATAAAAAAGTTGTACCGACAAAATTAAATAAGAAAAAATTCATTTAATTGATCCAAACTTTTTTGAAAAGAGCATTTCTGAATTTGGCAATGATCAAGCTAATCTGATTTATAAAATTTTCTTTTTTTATTTAATTTAATTTCAACATTACAATCAAAACTACAATTGTTTTAATTGCATCAAAATACTGTTTACTCTGGAGATTTTTTGTTCGTCATTAGCAACGCGAGAGACGCACTTTTTGAAATTCGTGTGTATTTTTTTTCCGCTCCGGGTTTTCCCACCGAGAGTTGAAATGAAAATTCGCCTAAGGAAATAATAATGAAACGGAGGAGTGGCTCCGTGTGTGTCTGCTGCGGGTCCACTCGTGTGCGTCGCGACGCGTGAATTGTGATTTTCATTCGCTGCTCTGCGGGTGGCATAACGTACACCTCAAGTGCATCCAACCCGCCGGCCGCGTGCACATTTTTTTCCTGCGCCTTCATTAACATGAATTTATTTTTTCAAAATGAGACGCGGTCCACAATTAATGTGCCCAGCTGCGCGAAACGATTTTCTCTCAGCCAAGAAAGTCGTCAAGAGGCTCCGAGCCAGCTGCAATTATATTCACACTTCTTTTTTTTTATAAATTCAGACTGCAAATTATGCAAAAAAGCGTCATTTCAAGGAAGTAAAGCCAAGTTTTAATGTGGAAGGAAGAAAAAGTTTGATATGTAATACAAAAATTAATTCAACTACAAAATTTAAATAATTATTCATCCGAACAAAAAATTAACACAAAAATGTTCAATGAAGTAAATTAAATTGGGGATAAAAATTAACTTTCAATTCATAATTTTGTAAACTTTCAAAATTATAAAATTGAAATTTTTTATTTTTGAATCAGAATCTATGAAATAATTATTATAATTATTTTTATTTGTTTGTTTTTTTAAACAAATTTTGATTTATTTGCATTAAAATTTTCAAACTTTGAGTGGAAAAATACTCAATTTTGTGGCTATGACTCGAGTTTACGTTGATTTTGCAAGAAAAATATGACTAATCATTTATAAAATTTTGAAAACACGACAAAATTGTTGGATGCATTATTTTTCTTGATTTGTAAACAGGCTCAATTATTCTGATATTAAATTGTTGTAAAAAAAAGAACTGAAAGCAGCACAACATTTATCATTGACCTATTTTTCTGCTGCAAACGTAATTTTCCATGAATAATTAAAAATTTCCAGGTGCAAATTGAGCCTTCCTGGAAAAACGGCATTTTACGTGAATAATTATTTTAATGAATCGGCAGAGTGGAAAATATAAATATGAACCGCACTTTTGAGGTGTAATTAGTGCAGCGAGCCTCATTGCGGCAACAAACGCCACCGCACTGTTTAGTCTGTTTCCAACCCAGCGACAAATTTCTCTGTCAATTGCAAATGAAAATAAAAATTACTAATTAGGGCAAATTATTTCAAACCTAAATGCAAAAAATAGAAATTTCTGAGATCATGTAAATTCACACTTATTTATTTCATCTTGTTTGCATTTTTAGCATGAATTCCAAATTTAAAATTGTAATTTTTTTATCATAAATATTCTAACGCGTGACTTTTGGTTGTGATTCCAGGCGTTCCTCCCCCGCAGGAAAGAGGCGGCTGGGGCCAGCGGGGTGGCTACCAGGGTGGGCAGCACAGGGGCGGTTTCCAGCAGAGGGGTGGCGGCGGCGGCGGCTACGAGGGCAGAAGCCAGGGCTACTCCACCAGGGAGGACAACCGAGACAACCGAGAGTGAGTTTCAATTCAAATTTAACCCAAAAATCATAGTTTTGATTGATATTTCTTTAAAAATCCTTCTTTTCTTAATTAAAACTTGAAAATTTTGGATATTTTATCATTTGCAGTTTTAATAAATTAATAAAAAATTGAAATTTTGTGATTGCAGTCGAGGCGGACCCGCGAGGGGTGGCCAAGGCCACAGCCAACGCTTCAACCCTTACCAGCAGAAGGGTGGCGACAACTGGCGCAACAACCAGCAGCAGGTACAATTATTTAAATTATTTCCGAATATTTTAATCAATTAATAAAATTATAATTTCACTTAATTTTTTTTCCAATTTTAACTAAATTTTAAGATTTTTTGTATTTGTTCTTTTCCACTTTCTCTTGAAATTGATCAAGTTTGTAAATTTGTTTTTTTTTCAATTATTATTAAACTCATAAAATTTTCACAAATTAATTCTTATTAAATATAATTTAAATATTCATATTAAAATATGAATTTTATAAAAAAAAAAACATAATAATAAAAATTACAATTTGATAATAAATTTTGGAGAGACGATTTTTGGCGCTGGTCTTGTGGGCATTGTATTGATTGGTGTGTGTGTGTGTGTCTGTTTCAGGGCTACGGCGGCGGCGGCGGAGGCGGCGGCGGGCAGCAGCGCGGTGGTGGCCGGGGAGGAGGCCGGGGCAGGGGCGGCTACGAGCAGAACCGCCGCTTCTGAAGCTGACCATCATCTGCAGCATTTTTCGGCGCTCAAAATTTATGACTCGCGTAAAGTGTGACTTATAAATTTATTGTGCTCGCGCCAGAAACCAGCGTGGCCGAGATAAAAATATATCTAGATTATTTCCGGTCATAGATTTTTGCCCAGTGTTCAAACAACAAAAACTCCTGTTTTTATTTTGGGCGACAAAAAAAACTTATAATTTGCTAAATTCACAAATTCTTGTTTTGGCCAACGAACTACAAATTGTATCAAATTAAAAAAAAACCTCTTAACAAAATTAAAAACTTTGACTATTATTTTAAGAATTCGTGGATTTTGTACTTTTCTGATAATTAATCTAGTCTGAAATGTCATAAAAAAGTTGTTGAGGCCGGCCGAGTGCAACTAGCTGTTGATCTTGTGTGCTTTTGCAGTCTTATCGGAGAGAGGAAAAGCTCTCTTGGAAAAATAATGGCCGCTCTTTCACATGTGCTGCTGCTGCTCAAGGGTTTCAATTACAATTTCATGAACGAAAATATTTTCCCAGAGAGCGGTGGCGCGGCACGATGAGATTGTTTCTGAGAGTGCCATTGAGTAGGTTTGTGAGTAGTGGTTGATGGCTCTAGACGAGAGCCAAGAGCCGCCGCCGCCGCCCCAGCCCAACAAACTCCGCACTCGCAGATGTACACATTTTTGCCCCTTTACCTGCGAAGCAAATGCAGATCGGCAAAATCTTTTTTCATTCCACCACTGCAACTTCTTGTTGACATGGTAACTAATTAAGAATTGGTTTGGTAATATTTAGTGATTTAGCCAATTTTTACATTATTTTCTTTCACTTAATTTTCAAGTTATTGAATTCGATAGTCCGTTGTGAACTGCAGAAAACTAATAGTATTAATTTTATAAGTCTTAACAGAAATAAACTTCTAAAAGTGTTCAAAAGGTTAAAAAGTAAATCAAATTTCTTATTTTTATTACAATTAAAAAAAAAAAATAACTCTAATAATAAAAGCGGAATTTTTCATAGAATACAAATATACTGGATGTTTCAATATTTTAAGTTATAGGTTTTTTTATGCTGAAATCGGCTGAAATATTTTAGTTTATCAGAAAACTCTTTTTGTTTGTGCCACAATATACATTTCAATAATGGAAAATTTTGTTTCACTGTATTTAGAATTGTTATCAAAATATCAAAATTCTGGTGCTTTGATTAGTTTGGGTCTATAATCAAAATTATTATTTCTTAAAGTAGCATTTTTATAGCAAAGTCACACAAGGGAGTCGATTCTCTCTCGCAATTAGTCTGTAATTTTTTAATTTTATTATTATTTATTATATAACTATTATTTTCTACTAATATTGATATTATTATTAAATTAGTAAATATCGTAAATATTATGTTTTTGTTTTATTGTTTATATTTTTGATTATGATCATTATTTATTAGTCATATTTTATTATTAATATTTTTAATACAATAATTTTAATAATATGAGAAAAACATTTAATCTTAATTTATAACGACATTTATTTTTATTTTCAAATACTTAATAATTATCAAAAGTAAGCAACAAAATGAACTCATAATTGCATGTTTTAATAAATTGAATTAAAAATTCTCCTTTTCTTACATATAATTTTTAATTATCAATTCATGTTTTCAGTTTTCACAAATTGTGTATTCGCGTGAATGCAATAAAATTATTCAGTAGATCGCTCAGCCCCTGGGAAAGCTGCCGTGAAAGAATGATTCGTTTTTTTTCTCTCTCTCGTCGGAGTGACTTTTCAAGAGGCAAACGTCTCGTCGGACAGCAGCAAATCATGAAAAGCTTAATTCGTCTGTCTCGTGAGAATCTGCAATTGCGCGGAGAAGTGATCTGGGGATGCATGGGAATGTGGAGGGCCCCACACGGCGCGGCCCCCGGGCCCCCCGGGGGCGGCCGAGGCGCGGGTGCAGTGGCGCGGACCAGTGCGCCCGCCCCACCTGCCCTCCCATGAGAAGAAAAATGGACCACTTGACTGCGGCGCGCATTGTTCTCGCCACCGACCACACCGAAAATCGCTCTTTATACTTCATGGGCGGCGCGGCAGAAAAGTAAGCCTTGGGAAAAACTGCTTTCTGCTTTTTTAAACTAAATTATATATTCATTCTTCTTGCCAAGTGACCGTTTTTCTCGATTTTGCCTACTTTTCTCCGCATTTATTCTCTTGTCAGTGAATCTTCAAGTGCTCGGATGTGAAATGCCCCCGTTTTTCTTCAAATATCTGCTGGACCGAGAAAAGCCATTAGAGAGAATTTTCTTGCAACTTGTTTTTATTCTATGTAAAATTGCGTCAGTTTTTTTATATATTGTTGACAATTTTAAAAGAAAGTAAAAATTTATATTAAACACTCATTTAAAATTATTATAAATGATATATTTATAAAATTGGTACTTTAACCCTTTATTCTAATGAATTAAGTATCAAATTTTAATTATCACGCTCAAATCGAAAATTCAAGCGATGAAAAGAATTGCAAAAACTCGATCAAGAATATGGGCTTCGAGTTGCCGATATACTTTACAAATCTTTGATCGCCGGACTGCAATTTTGAATCAATTTTGATTTTTCCGACTACAGTTTTTTTTATAATCATCTAAGGATTGAAAAACTACAAATTAGATTTTGTTTTAAAGTTAAAACTGACTTACTTGTGGCAAAAATTAATTGCTCCAAATTTAACTCGCCTATAATGTTATTCAGCTACTTTTGTATCGCGCAAATCCACCAACTTTTTTTAACTTCAAATGCGCAAAACAAAGAAATTGAAGACGCCAGCAATTGAAACTGGAATATTTTGATGATTTTATTAGATTTATTTAATTTATATGATTTGATGATAGAGCAATTGTTTATTTTTTAGGGTCAGTTTTAAGTTGAAAGAAAAAAATTATAAAAAAAAACTTGATTTGAAAACAAATTAAGGACTCGTCATTCGTGAAAAAAACTGTATATAAAATTTGTATGCAAGATTTATTTGGTACCGCAATTAATAGGTGGAGAATGGGCAGGCGGGGGCGGCGGGCGGGGGCGGCGCGCGCGCAGGGCCGAGCGTGCGCGGCTGGAGCGGCCAATCCGTCCGAGGCCTCGCGCGCTGGCCGCCGATCAATACGCGTCGATAAATAGAGCCGCGCACTCGAGAAATGCCTGCGCCTGCATCATCCGCCCCCGCGGCCTCCCCCGCCCGCCCCCGACAATCGCTGCCACTTTATTTTCCTCCCTTGTTTGCAGCAAACGAGCAGAGGGAGCTTTTTGACTTTCCACGCGCTAAGTCGATTTTGCCAGAACCAAAAGCCAAAGTCAAACAACGACACGGAATTATATTCGGGAATTATTCGAGCAAATCTCCGCTTGTAATACCAACTTATCATTTAGAAATTATCGGCATTACATGCGTTTATCAATTGATCATTGATTTCTTTTCATTTTCAACACGTTAATGCTGAATAAATTCAATTTTTTTTTAATTAATTAACATAAAAAGGTTGCAGTAATTTAAAACAAAAAGAATGTTCAATCAAATAGTAAATTTAAAATTTGATGAAATTTGATGTATTAAATTAATAAAAATAAGTTAAATTGTATAAAAATACCTATTATTTATAAAACGGTACAAATATAAGGTATTTTTAATAACATTATTATTTAAATTTTATTATTTATCAATCATTTATCAATATATTTTAGAGCATTTTCAGCGAATATAAATAAAAATTTTATAATTAAATAAATAAGAGATAAATAGAAATAAAAAGGATTTAAATTAATATTCGTTCACATAAAAGCTTTTTCAGCTCAAATAATTCGCAATGAATGCGCTTATTTTGAACACACTAATTAAAAAATTCGTTTGTTACAGCAGAGTCGATCTTATTCAGCGGAAAACGAATTCAGAGTTGACGGGTCTTGCGGTGTGCGCGGGGATTTATATATTTTTGAAGGAGTGCGGTGGAGAGAGTGTCGATTGAAGGGGTTGAAGGGCTCTAATGTTTTCGGGCAATCCGACGCGAGTTGATGATGGAGCCTGAGCGAGGCTGGCCGGCCGGCCGGCCACCGTTTATCTGCCGCGGCGGCGGCGGTGCAGCCGCGCAAAAGCATCCACCCACTCACATGGTAGTCCACCAAAGAGCCCTTGGACTCGATGAGAGAGAGAGAGAGAGAGAGAGACGTCTTAAGCCAAGAGCACCTACATGCAGCACCCTTGTGCAGAGAGACGACCACGTGCGATCATCCGCCTTTTACTTTCACTCCACAACTCAATTCAGCGCGATGTAATTTATCGCATTTTATTTTGCTTCTCATTTAAAAATTCATACAGACCATTTTCTTCGTTTCATCCAAAATTAATTTCCGATTCAATGAATTCCTCTTGATTTCATCTTCAGAGTAATTTGTCTTGAATTTCAGATGTTGATGTTCATTTTATATGGGTTTTCCAGCAAAAAAACAAAAATAAAATTAATCCGACAGTTTTAAAAAAGAAAATTTTAGCTTTTCAGCAACCTAAAGTTTTTTTCTCAAAATAAATAACCTTAAGTTCACTGCAAGTCTTTTTTATCAATTAAGAAATAAGAAGAGTCTGTTACAAATTTATACTGTTTAATTTAATGAAATCCTAAAAAAATTCATCTCAATGAATGGAATTTTTAAGAAAAAACTTTCCCATTTGTTTATTTATTTGCACCAAATTAATTAAAATTAGTACATTCATGTAATTATTGTTTTTTAATTATAAAATATTCTTTTATTCATTAAAATTACAAGAAATTAAAATTTTGACGAGAAACTGGAAATTTTTTTACCGATACGAACACAGATACCTTTTTTAATTGAAATTAATTTTAATCCCAAACAAAACGCCTTATTTGGGATTTGGAAGGAGCGAAGCATGACAAATTCTTGCTAGACTTGTCGTCAAGTGTGTAATTTGCGAGGCCGCTGCCTGTTTTTTCCGCGGCTGCTGAGCACATACGCAAGATTAGAGTGGCTCGTCCTGCTGGGCGCGCGCGAGCGAGACACTTTTGTCGCGGCGCACCTGAAAAAATATTGCGCTCCGAGCCTGCTGCTCGCTCCGAGTATGTTTGTGCTGCACACACGAATGTGTAATTTACTTGTACCGCGCCGCGTCTCTCCGACTCACCAACCGTGTTTCACTCTTTTCCAGCAACGCTATTTTTTTCCGTCGCTGCGTGCATTGCACTCAATTATTTCGCCGCCGGCAAATCCCGCCGCCCACGCACACACCGCGCTCGCCCGTAATTACACTTATTTTTATATTTTTCGCAATTAAATCCACGCAACGCTGCCGACGTCGGGGAGCGCACAAGTGGCTCAGCCGCGGAATCATCTGGACCGGAAATTTTCAACAGGGTGTTTTAAATTAATTTAAATTAAAATAAAACGTAATTTTTATTAAATTTGTTGATAATTTTGTCAATTTTGTCAATAGTTTAAAAGTAAATTGAAAATTCAAATTTCAATCAAATAAATAAAATTATTCATTATGTATTGCTTTGTTTATCATATTTTCTACAATGTATAGAGCATATTTTTAATCTCCTGTTGATTTTTATTCTTCTTTGGTTGTCGCCGTGCGGCTCTTTTGACCAAAGTGTTCACGTAATAAACGGGCTGGATAGACTCTTGGCCGGCTGCAAAGGACTTGACGCCGTCATCGCATCAACAAGCATTTTCGATGATCATTGTATTAAGTTGAAAACTCTTGAATAAAGCAGCCGGCGCAGCCGTATTATCAGCCACACCATAACCATTTCACACCGCCGCGATCCGAGAGAAGAGCGAAAAAGCCTCTCTCCTGGTCTGAGTAGTTTTTCGGGCGCGCAC